ATTTTGCCAAAACGTCAGCCCCTCGATAGCATCAGATATGTCCCCCAAAGTCCGCATTCATCCTAAGGCATCCACAGGGCTCCTCCGTCTAAGTTCCAGTCTTGGAAGAAAGTATGCTTTAGGTTAGAGGTCTTCTTGGAAACAGTGTATGTGGCAGTTGTTTTCTGTGGGAACTGATTCTCCCCTTGATTTTTATTGGAATAGCCTAATGTGTTTTGAGGGGGAGGGGTGACAGGGGTCTGGCTGGAAGGTGTCAGATGTGTCATCCCTTTCATTACTCTGCACATCTGGTCACACAGCTGGGTATGGGTCGTATGCCGATTTGGGAGACACAGGAAAATATGACATAATAAAACATTTGGTGTTTAATCAAATGATAACAGAAAGATAAACAAGTTAAGGGTCAGGAAGCATATGATTCGAGTGAAAAAGCATCCCACTGACTATCGGGGACCTTCATATTTGCTGTTTTGAAATAAGAACGGAATAAGTCAAGTCGGCAGACATCGCGGGCTCCACGTCTCACGATGACCTTGCCGGTTCTCCGCGGCTCAGGAGGAAACGGAGACGCAGCTGAGAACAGGTGTTTGTGAGGTGCTCCCCAAGCTGCAGCCTAGAACTTGGCATGCCACGTGCATTTAAACATGGCATCACCACAAGCCCTGGCATTTTCTGCATTTCACAGCCGAGGAGGCTGCAGCTGGATGGGTGAGGCATTCTAGTAAGAAATAAAGTAGGTAAGGGTCCACCTGACTCCCAAAGTCAGCAATATGTTCGTTGTATCGGGCGGCCTCCCCGACACTCCTTGCGCCCCTTGGTTCCTAAGGCGGCTGGCGACAGGTACTCTATCTGAACACCCCTCCATCCAACCGCCTGCCCAGTTCCCGACGGGCCAGGTGCTGGCTCGGCTCAGAGGACACAGTCCCAGGCCCCGATCTTAAAGCCCCCACGCCGAGGTGCGATACAGCAAAGCCCTGAATGAACGAGTGAGTGACTGAGTGAACGAATGAAGACTAAACGTTCCACTGTGTATGTGTGGGAGCCGTCTTCCAGCCGGGACACTTGGGAAGCAATGGTCCTTTCTATGCCAGAATTCCCGTTTCTAAGTGGATCTCCAGCCTTTTAGCTATTTTTATTGCCATGTAAAATAGCTGAGACCTAATTTCCACCATCTGTACTTTCACTGAACATGCTCAACGCTTTGTCATTGCCTCATAACAACGGAATATACAAGAAAACCCACCAAATGCAGTTAGTCACTTTGCTGACGATTTATTGCTGTAAGGACAGAGGCTACACCTGGGGCATCTGAGCGATGAAAAGCCTTCACATTGAACAAACACGTGGATACAACACGGCTCACGTGCAAAGCGAGGAATGCCGCAGGCCACGACGGATGGCCCGCAGCCCAATTCCCTCCGTGGGGACATTCCAAGACATTTTTTTTTGCGTGTACTTTTTAGTCACTCACAAAAATGGCAGGAGGAATACTTAAATATTAAGTCACAGTTTGAAAATAGATATATACACACACACACACACGTATATGTGCCGAGACACACACTTGATCCTTTTGACCATTACGAAGACGAGTCCCAGCTGTGCAGGGTTATGATCGCAATTACTTGGGATCAAGATAAGTCCTTCCAAAGCCAATGACCTAATTCAACATAACAGTCACAGACCATATGACTTCCCCACAATCCCTCTGCAGACACGGCACGATGTTAATGAGCTTGCAGACAATTATGTCATCCGAGTCTACTTCCTGTGCCCCCTCTCCTATCACGTCCAGAGTTCCAACTGCAGCTATGGCCAGGAAAGCATCTCTCGGACCTTAGGAGGTGGGGCAGCCAGCTCACTGGGCTTGGTGGCGGGAGACAAGGTTCAGATGGTGGCTTGACCTTGGTGTGCGGTCCTGGTCTGCAGGTCAGTAGCTGGTGAGACACTAAGCAGAAGACTGAACCTCTGTGAACCTCAGCTGTCTTATCTCTAAAATGGGGAGTTAGTGACAAGGCCTTATCTTACATGAGATGCGGAGTAAAGCACCACCCCGGGCTTGGCACACAGGAAGAGGTCATCCAAGGCTTGCGATAAGGGTTAGCAAGAATGAGTGGTTTCGTAAAAAGGCCTCGCTCCGCCCCCCACACCTGAGCAACCAGGGAAGTCCACTCCAGGCACGAACACGAATTTCTTCACCGAAGGTGACCTGATCTTTAGAGTGCCTTCCCTGTCTGAGAACATGGAGCTGCAGGGACTGGAGAGGTGATCCGTCTGCAGGACTTGATCGCCCTGCCTCTGAGTCACCGCTCGGAGTCCTCCGGAGCGCGAGGCAGAGTGGACTAGGCTGAGAGCTGAGCTCCGCTTTGATGCCAGATTTTCCGTTTATAACATGGAGAAGTGGCTTACTCAAAATTACTATGGTACTTTGTAAGATCGTGAAAACTCAGCACAGTGCTGGGCTCCAAGTAGTCACTCAGTAAAGGGACACTTAGTCACTACGGTTGTTATTCGTAACTTTTATTGAAGTCGGTCGCACCCCTGCAGGGTGATTCTGACTGCTTCCTTATTGGACCCAAATTCCTATCCCCATGTGGATCTGAGATTTTCCAACGGGGGTCTGCATGGGACAGGTCCATTTCTTAAAACAAATACTAACCGGGACACTCTGGCCACCCCAGGCCTCCCCACTCATTCCCAGGATAATCCCTGGTTCCTCCAGCCACGTCCTGTGATCCTGGAAGCTATGCTCAGTTTCCCGCACTGGGATGTCAATTCAGCGAGGACCTAGCGTTTAGCTTTCTGCTGAATTTCAGATGGGATCAGTGGTCATCAAGCCTTTGCCATTGGTAGAGGGCAGGTGATTTCACCGTGAGAAAACTCAACATGAGCCACACAGACTTATAGGAGAGATTATTCATGGGGTAAGTTCTCTTCACACAGAACTTCTGTATTTTTTTTTTCAATAAAACATACATTTCTTGAAATAGTTCCTGTCCCTTTTCCTATGGCACATTACGATTCAGCTGATAAAAATCAGATTGTCACAGAGCTTTGGAAGGAGAGAGCTTCCGGATAAACACAGGGACACACGCACTTCTTATATTCATCAGCTCCGAACTGAGCACCACTGTGTGCCTTGCATTGGGCTAGGCATTCAGGTCACTGTGTGGAGGGCACACTTGGGTGCTTTTTTCCTGCTTGGGAATCCCTCTGTGACCCACACAGAATCCCCACACATCGTATAATGTGCAGCGTCTGGGAAACAAACCCGCCTCTTACAGGCATGGAGCTCGGGTCCGGACCTGCAGGAGGCGATGATCTACGGCGGAGTCACGGAATTTTGTCCCTCTCCTGTGTTTTGGAGAACTCAGGCACCTAAATTATCTGAGCCTCAGATTCTCTGCTCTTGTAAAAGGACCCAGAAAGACAGTAAAAAAAAAAAAAAGAGCAAAAACTGAGAGCAAGAAGTTGCTGGTTTCGACATGTTTTCCTGCTCTGCCACGTTAGGGAGCTGTAAAGTCGGGGGATGTGAGTTACCGCGTCATCCCAGCCTGGCCTGGATCCTCCTCCCCCCTGCCAGCTGCGTGACTGCGATCAGGTCTCGGCACAGCCCTCAGCTCCTGCTGCATCAGCGGAAACAGGGGTGATAACGGGCTGTCGACCCGATCGGTCCCCGCGAGCTGGTGCACGGGAAGCACCGAGAACGTGGCCTGTAGAAGGTACTAGATAAGAGAATGATAGCAGTACGTATTTATATTTTACAGATAAAATAAATACTGGCCTCATTTTGACGAGCGACAACCTTCTCTTCCGGTTGGCTTCCACCCCTTTGGCTTTAATCCCTATTAAATAGGTTTCCATTTCTAAACAACTGGTCAACCTCCGTCTTCACACCGGAACTGGGTTGTTTGGGTCACCAGACCTAAAGCCTGTGAAATGGGTCAGTGAAGCTGAAAGAGATATTGTGTCCTGGGCCCAGTGACCCTTGCCATCCAGGCTGATGCAGACTGGACCCACTTCTTGGTCTGACCTAGCCGGGACCTCTCGGTCACTTCAGGAGGGTCCGACCTGGACTTCAGTAGAGGCTCCTTAGATGCAGAGGAGTGTCCCACGGCACTGCTCTCATGGGTCAGAGAGCCCACCCCGTGGGCTCCACCAACTCCCATAATCCTCCAAGCTGGTGGACATCTCGATTTGAGGAGGAGTCTGGCCCATCCCTGATGTCCTGGTGGTCAGCCTAGGGTCCGTCGCCTTCTTCTAAAACTGGTAACCTGCTCTGCCCCTGGAGCATTGACTGGGGACTTGCCCATGAACAAGAGTGGAATCTATCAAGCTGCATCTCTAATGGAAATGAACCCAACCTGTACCCTTCACAGTGCGGAAGTGAAGAGAAACGTAACCTCAACAATGCCTGGAGGCCCGGATTAACAGATACAATTTTCCATGAAAAATCAAAGCCAAGTAACCATTCATCTCACTTGGCAGATGTCTGGTGACTTTGGGGCACACAAGTCTTTGGAATCAGAGCTACTTGGGGTGCTGTGGTCAGAAGGTCTATTACAGCGCCACTCAGCAGGGCCCCAAATAATAGAATGTTCCAGCTACCCTCTGAGTGGATCCAAAGAGTCTCGTGGTTTGGCATCTCAAGAGGGAATTAGTGGTGTTGAGTGTCCAGCTCATTCTGTTCTGTGGGACTCAGGAGGCCTCCGGGAGACTCGCACAGGCCAGACTGGGTTTGGGTGTTGTCCAGAACAGATGGGGACAGGCACTTTCTTTGGGGTGTACGCAGAATGCTGCCAAGGACAGGCACCATTGTCTGGGGCTGAGCGGCAGCCCAGTGGGTCATGTGGGTGGTCAGAGACGGGACGGGGCCAAGGGTCTGGGTCAAGGTCGTCAGAAATGAATGGGAAGTGGACTAGAGAAGGCTCAACGCTGGGCCTCACCAGTGCTGCTTTGCAAGCATTGGGCCCAGCCCGAGCCCTGTCTTTCGTGCCCGCCTAATTGGCAATTTCTGAGAAGTCAGGGTAGGGTTCCAGATCGGCAAAGATGTCGTTGGGGTTCCTACAGCTGAGGTTGCAGAAGCAGGCGTTGACCCACAGGACCTGGCGGGAGAATCCAGGCCCGTCGGGACACTGGAAGGGGACAGAGATGGTCTTGGACTTGTAGGGGATGCAGCATCTGTCGTCCGTGCAGACTCCGCAGTACTTGGGCCTGTAGACGCGCGTGCTGACGCAGCCGGCCAACGTGAAGTTCGTGGGCGCCTCCGGCTGGTACACAGCCAGACACTTCTTCCCTTCCTGCGGGAAAGGGGGTCTCAGCTGGGAAGCTCAGAGGATGAAGCACCTCATTCTTCCCTCCAAGCGCCCTGTGCCTTTGCACGCACCACCTGCCTTCCAGATCTGCAGCGTCCTCCCCCCGTGGCAAGACCCTGCCCCGCTCCGCAGCAGTAAACCCGGGCCCACAGGCGGGACGGCTCTGTTAGGCGATGCTCGCAGTCTGCATACTCTTCCCTGCAGGTCTGCCTGGCTACTGCCCACCGGACGGACGTCTTTGTCTCTCCGTCAGTCAACCGAGTGCCCCAGGCAGTCAGAGGCAGAACCGTGGCGGGACTCCATGACTGGGAACACGCTTGACCCTGACTGCCCTCCTCTGCTTCCCACAGCCTCTCCCACACCCTCCTCGTGCAGCTGGCTCCTGGAGCAGCATCGTGGACAGTGACCTCTGTCCCTCCGCGGGGCTGCGGCCGCTCGACTGTGGGGCCCTTCCAGGTGTCTGCCGTCTAATCCCACCTGACACGTAGCAGCACTTACTGACCTCGTTGGCCTCATGGTTCTGGGGTCTGCCCTGCACCAGGACCGTGCCCGAACTGGGAGGGGGAGCAGGTCCAGGCCACGGGGGCACTGGGAGCTCAGGCAGCGCCGTGGACAGTGCTTATGGAAACCACCCGGGTGGAGATGTGGGGGGTGGAGGGACCTGGGTCAGCTCTGTGGTCAGCCCACCTCGACCTCGAGGGCACCGTGCAGTCACTGAGTGGGGCCTCTGCCGACGGCTCCACTCATGACTTCACCACGAGACGTCCGCTGGGCACCTACTGCCCACCCAGCACCGAGGCTACAAAGGCCAGTGTGGCAGGGAAAACAGTCAGAGAGGACGAAGGAGAGAGAAGGGAAGAAAGAGAGGGGGGAGGCGGGGGTCCTGCTGACTGACCCAGGGGTGACTGGAGCAGGGGATGGGGACAGGGCGCAACGTCCGTGTGACGTGTAAGGAGGACTCAGGACGCTGGGCTGTGGGGTCTGCCGGGCAACCCTGTCTTCAGCACCCCAAGGAACCACCAGGCACGTGAGCAGGCCTGGACGAAGGGGTGAGGTCCGTTCTAACTCCGAGGACCCGGGCTCGGCCTCCGGGGTTCTACTACATCCTCGGGCCTTTATTCTAATTACCGTGGGCTCTCAGAGCCCGAGGGGTGTCTGAGGCCCCACCAGCATTTCACTGCTGGGGCCTGGAGCCCAGACGGCCCAACACTGGTCAGCAGCAGACGAGCTCTTGACTCCAGCTGTCCCCACCCCCATTCACTGCTCCCGTCACCCATGCGGCTGTCATGAGGTGCCACGGGGGACAGGAGAATGGCAGCGGGTGAGGGTCCCTCAGCATCGTCACAGGACAGCACTTCTGAGGGGCCGGAGGCTCTCTCCAGGGCGGCCTTGGTTCTAATACATGGTCCCCACTATCACTCCCGCCGAGCGGAAGTCGCAGCACACCCGCCTGCTGACACACGTCACCCGTGCCGTGGAGGCGGGTTACTCATGCCCGTGTTACGATGGCCCCACGAGAAAGCGCGAAGCCCAGCTTTTCTGGGCAGCCCGAGCCGCCGCCTGGGAGCCAGACCCACCTTGATGTGCAGCCGGAGGTCCACGTCACAGGGCCGCAGGTTGCAGAGGCGGCTCTCCTGCTCCGGCCGGCAGCGGGCGTTGACGTTGGAGACCCGCGTGGAGATGCCCAGGCCACAGGTGGTGGAGCAGGGGCTCCAGGGGCTGGTGTGGGCTATGCAGTTCCTGTGCCAGGGCTCCGCCTCGCCCGTGGCCGCTGCGGGGGGACCAGGTTCCCCTGAGTCTCCAGCCTCCCTCACCCCATCCCCAGCGTCACCACCCTGAGGGTCAGTCCCTGAAACTCGGCGAAGAGAGAGGTGGCGTGTTGGCTTCTAACTGGTCATGGATCCCCAGGGAGAGAGGGACTGTTCTGAGTTCCTGACACGTCTCGGGAGGGAAGACCAGCTTTAGAGACAGGGGCACCTGAGTTCACACCCTTCTGGGGCACCGACCAGCGGTGTGAGGCTGGACAACTCAGGCTGGCCCCCGTGTCCTCCTTGGAACAGTAACGTCCGCCTCGCGGGGCTGGCGTGGCAATCAAAGGAATCCAGATACTGACCAGTGTGTATCAGACATCTGCTTGGTGCTGGGAATCAACGCTTAGAGACAGGGTTCCTGCCCCTGCAGAGATCACGTTGATTTGGGGGAAGGTCAAAGGTGCACGGCTGCACCCTAGTGCCCAGCATGTCATCTGGGGGATGCTGAGGGTACAGTGGTTAAGGAGACAGGCAGGCTGCAGGGTGGAACTGTGTGGGTTCAGCCACCTGCAGGGGGGCTGACGGCAGCACCCCTCTCCCACGGCTGTGGGTGGAAAAGACAGGTTCACACACACGACTGTGCTCAAGCCGTCCCTGGGCCTCAGTAAGCCCTCAGTCAATGTGAGCTCACGTGGTTTCTGGACCATCGGCCAGCAAATACCCAGTCTCGGCTGGGCTGTTAATGTTTCTGCCCTGGCGTCCGGAAGGTGGCGAGCACTCGCTGGCTCCTGAGAGATGGGAGGTGCAGTGTGTGTAGGGGGGGGGGGGGGCGAGCCCAGGACGAGGGAGGAGCCCAGAGGAGGGTGGGAGGAGGCACAGAGACAGGCCCAGGAGGAAGCTGGTCCCCCTTGCGGAGCCGAGCTGGAGAGAAAGGAACAGGCAGAGGGAGGGGAGGAGGGCAGCTGGAGAGAGTGTGGGGAGGGGAGGGGACATGGAGCGGGAGGGGCCTGGTAGAGAAAGGTGATAAAAATGGGGGTGGGGGACAGAAAACAGGAAAGGAAAGACATCCACTAGGATCAGGAGGAGAGAGAAGGGGAAGGTGGGTTCTGCAGACCCAGGCCCCAGGTTAACAGGTGCGCAGGGAACGCGGATGAACGGATGAGGAGCGGATGAGCGGGAGGAGGGGAGAGAAAGGGGGTCTGGGAGCAGGAGGAGAAGGAGAGGCCTCTGAGGGCAGAGGAGGCTAGGTCTGGGGGCGCTGGGCTCGACGTGGGGGGAGGGGCCTGGGGGAGGGGCCTGGGGGAGGGATCTGTCTAGGAGGATAAAGGGCTTTGGTTTCTGGGTCACTGGCTAGGCAGGCCGGGCTCTGCTTGTGTTCGGTCAGAATGGGGTCACTGGGCCACACACCACGGGCAGACAGCCGCTGCAGCCCCCTCTTGCGACCCTGCCAAGGGGGTCCTGGTGGCACTGCTGCCCTGGGCTCCCTGGGACGGAGCTTTCCCAGCCACGTCTGTCCGTCCTCACCCACAGGGGTCTGTCCGTCCCCACCCCCAGGGCTGCTTCTTCTCGGGGCTGGCTCCGCCCCTTGGGGCACCCCAAGCCCCACCCAGAGAGGCTGTGCATCCTGAGCCACCGAAGGGGCGGGGGAAGGGGTGGGGGGCGTGGGGGGACCAGTCTCCTTCCTGGTCCAGGCAGACCCATCGGGCGCACAGCCTGGAGGGTTGGTCCCTCTACACCCTCTGCTTCCCTGCTTTCCAGTCCATTCTTCTCTGAAACACTGTCTTCACTTGGCTTCTGCAAAACCTCTTCCTGGCTCCCGCCTGCCTCTCGGATTTGTCCGAGCTTCTTTCTCTCCCTCACCTTAAATGGTGGTGTCTCGGCTGGTCCAGTGGCTCTCCAGGGAGCCGTGTCCCCCGGGCATAGTGAGCACTGTCTGCAGGGTGTTTGGCTGTTACCACTTGCAGGGCAGGTGCTGTTGGTGTCCAGTGCGTAGGCGTCAGGGTCAGGGATGCTGCTGAACATCCCACAGTGCACAGGGCGGCAGCCCCATAACAAAGCATCGTCTGGTCCAAATGGTGTCGGGGAGCAACCCTGCGCTACAGTATCCCTGAGCATCTCATAAAAATAATAGCGGTAGCCTCAGAACGCCCAGCCTCCGTGTCCACACGCCTAGTAGACATGTTCCTCCCAGACGTGTCCTCGTCCACTGTCTTCTGTGTCATCAGATGCTCCCACCCTCCTTCTCTGTCTCCCCCTCAGCCTCCTCTTCCTCTGTCCATCCCTCAAATGTCAGCCACAGACCCTGGTCGAGGCCCCTCTGTCTCACTCTGCACCTTGTCCCTGCGCCATCTCACCAGCATCAGCAACTCCAGCCAGATGACTCCCGAGCTCTCTCTGTCCGTCTTCCTCCTCCAGGGCCACCCCCATGGGACCCTGCTCTGGGCCACCCTCAGGCAGGTGCCCAGCTCCTGACTCCACTTGTCTCTCACAAAGATGCTCTCTTTCTTCCCAGACACTCCTGTGGTCATCTGTCCTAGGTAGTGACCAGCCCCAGGGGTCACTCTTTACTGCTCTCTCCACACATTGGATTGGTGCCAAGACCTGCCATAATACTCAAGCAGTGCCTCCTTTGTCAGCTCTACTCCCATTGCCCAAGTTCAGATCTCCATTAGCCCTCCACTATTCATCTGTCATCCATCCATCCAACCATCCATCCATGACGCCATCCATCCATCCATCCCTCCATGATGTCATCCATCCATGATGTCATCCATCCATCCATTCCTTTATGATGTCATCCATCCATGATGTCATCTATCCATCCATTCCTCCACGATGTCATCCATCCATGATGTCATCCATCCATTCATTCCTCCACGATGTCATCCATCCATGATGCTATCCATCCATCCATTCTTCCACGATGTCATCCATCCATGATGTCATCCATCCATCCATTCCTCCACGATGTCATCCATCCATGATGCCATCCATCCATTCATTCCTCCACGATGTCATCCATCCATGATGCCATCCATCCATCCATTCTTCCACGATGTCATCCATCCATGATGTCATCCATCCATCCATTCCTCCACGATGTCATCCATCCATGATGTCATCCATCCATCCATTCCTCCATGTCATCCATCTATCCATTCCTTCATGATTCCATCCATCCATAATGCCATCCATCCATCATCCATCCATCCATCCATCCATCCATCCATCCATCCATCATCCATCCATCCATCATCCATCCATCCATCCATCCATCCATCCATCATCCATCCATCCATCCATCATCCATCCATCCATCCATCCATCCATCATCCATCCATCCATCATCCATCCATCCATCATCCACCCATCCATCCATCCATCCATCATCCATCCATCATCCATCTATCCATCCATCCATCCATCCATCATCCATCCATCCATCATCCATCCATCCATCATCCATCCATCCATCCATCCATCATCCATCCATCCATCATCCATCCATCCATCCATCATCCATCCATCCATCCATCCATCCATCCATCCATCATCCATCCATCCATCCATCCATCCATCATCCATCCATCCATCCATCCATCCATCCATCATCCATCCATCCATCCATCCATCCATCCATCCAATCCACCATCCATCCATCCATCCATCCATCCATCCATCCATCATCCATCCATCTACCATCCATCCATCATCCATCCATCATCCATCCATCCATCCATCCATCCATCCATCCATCCATCCATCCATCATCCATCCATCCATCATCCATCCATCCATCATCCATCCATCCATCCATCCATCATCCATCCATCCATCCATCATCCATCCATCATCCATCCATCATCCATCCATCCATCCATCCATCATCCATCCATCCATCCATCCATCCGTCCATCCATCCATATGATAAATAATGATTGGTACTTGCTAAGTGTCTGGCATTGACTATGCTCCAATAAACTGCGGTGAAAAAAAAATTAAAAAGTGGCCTGACCCTGTCCTCCCTTTCCAGGGCTTCCTGTTACCTGGCTTACCTGGCTGAAGCCTCACCTGTTCTCATCCCCCCTAGTGAAGGAAAGCCATCTCCGTACTCTCCTGCCTCAGCACCTGCTGCTGACGCCTCTCCTCCCCAGGGACCCGCAACCCACCTCTCCTCCACCTCTGCACCCCTCACCTAATCTCCAGAGAGGACAACACTGCATCCCACATGCTGGCTCTGCTTCTGCAAAGCACTCTCTCATTTCCCGCGCAGAGGCTCCCACAGGGCAGGCAGAGCAGAGGCTATCATTTCCACGGTACCCACAGGAAAGCGGGGTCCAGAGGAGATGACTTTCCCGGGGTCACACAGCGAGTGAGCCGAGGATGGGCTCTGTGTGGACCACAGCAGGCAGGCAGATCTAGGGGGTCTGCAGCCCCCCGCCCCAGGCCGCCCTCCCGGCGCCCCGCACAGTACCCACCTAGGTCTCCCGTGTGCCGCGGCGCCGTCTTGCGCAGCCTCCTGGCCTCATCGTCGCACACCCACTGCTCGCAGCAGCGGCCAGGCAGGCGGACGCGCCGCGGGTGGCGGCACCAGAGGCGTGGAGGGCGCACACGGAGGCACAGGGGCGTGCAGCCCACCGCGCCGTCCACGCACGTGCAGTTGAACTTGCAGCTGGGCTGGAAGGACTGGCCGTTGGTGTAGCGCACCCCGTCCAGGATGCAGCCCACGCCGACCACCTCTGCGAACACAGGGCGGCGAGTCAGGCCCGGTGCCCCGGCCGGGCAGCCTCCCACGGCGGCCCACGCTCAAACCCAGGACTCTCCCCCCGCAGGGGAGGGGGACAGCAGAGGCCGGGCCAGCCAGGGGCGGGACTTGAGCAGAGGGAGAGCAGGAGGTCCTTCGTGGCTTCAGCTGCTGATCGAGAACACGGATGGCGAGTCAGAGGCTCCAGCGTTGCCCAGCAGGGGTCCCAGTGGCCAACCCTGTCCTGGCCCTAGCACACGCACGAAGCCTCGGACTGACAACCATCTGTCACTCAGGTTGTGCTTCTGAGCGGGGCCGACATGGAAAGCCAACCAGAACACTTTGAAATGAAGACCCCGCTTACTCCAAGCCTGCTGACGGCGCACCTAGGTGCTGAAGATTCAGTCGCGGACGAAATAGACGACAGCCATATCTCACAGAGCTCATGTGTGGGGCGACAGAGGAAGACAAACAGGTCATCTAGAATGTGGAAGGGGACCCGTGCCCAGAGAACAGTGAAGCGGGGGGCGGGGGCGGGGGCTGGCAGTTGCAGTGAAATAAGGTGTGCAGGCAGGTCCCACTGCGGGGGAGCGGAGGGGGAGCCTTCCCCACGTGGGAGCAGGCCTGGGGTGTGGCGGGGGTAGGCCATGAGGGGGGAGAGCCTCCTTGTAGGCTCAGAGGAGGCGCAATGTTGTTTGAGCCCTAGTACGATGGCTGGTACACAGCCGGTGCTCACGGGTAACTGTAGATTCAGCGATATGATTCTACTTGTCAGCATCACTTGTGGTGCTGAGCTGAGACTGCACTACAGGTGGTAAGGGCAGTGTCAGGAGGCCGCCCCAATAACCCAGGCCAGAGGTGGTGGTGCTCAGGGAGGGACCAAGAGCCGCTTGCTGACCAGTGGGATGTGACGATGGGAGGAGAGGGCTCAAGAAGAACTGTGCAGCCGGCCGGTGTGCTCAGTGGATGGAGCATCTTCCCATGGACTGAGATGTCCAGCCAGGATGCCCAGTCAGGGCACATGCCTGGTTGTGGGCTCGATCCCCAGTAGGGGGCGGGCAGGAGGCAGCTGATCGATGTTTCTCTCGTACATCAACGTTTCTCTCTCTCTCTAAAAAAAAATTAATAAAAATATATTAAAAAAAAAACAAACAAACAGAATGCCTGTGCATTCTATGTCCCCCGCAGGTAAGGGGGACGACTGATCCCTGGAAAGAGAGTCCTGTCCTTAGAGAGGCAGGTTCTGGGGGCAGTGGACTCATTCTTCTTGGGCACGCTACACCTGGTTGACATCGTGTGGCCATGTGGAGCTCCAGGAGGGTGTGGGCTGCTGGACCGGCCAGCGTCCCTCCCCGAGCAGTGGGACCCAGTGCAGGCAGAGAGCTGGCAGCAAGGAAGGGCCCCACCCGAGGAAGACTGGTTTGGAGTCCGCAGTCTGCCAATAGCTCCAGCACGTCCCCTGGAGGTGTTCGTAATAAGAATCCCACTATGCACCGGGAGAGAAGTCTTCCCAAGCCCTGGCTCTGCTCTCGGTTCCCTGCCCTGCTCTGTGCCACGCTTTCTTGCCGAGTCCATCCTGTAAGGAGATGCTACCGCGGACCACCTGCGTCTCATGGAGGCGAAGTCACATGCCAGACACAGACGCAGCCCGTGGGGATGAGATGTGACAGCCATTTCTCCGGGGATATGGACGCGCGAGGAGTCGAGCAGAAGAGAAAGGTGCTCATGCGTCCTGACCATCTGCCCCGGGGCCAGCGCCCTCTCGTTATCACATTGATTTCTCCCAGGTCTGCACGGGGAGTGACTTCTTCATTCGGCAGACAGGGAGGTCAAGGGGCTTAGTAGCTCATGGTCACCCAGCAGGTGAGTGATCGAGGGCTCTGACCCCACAGCCCCTTCCCACTCACCAGACCATGGTAAAGGAGGGAACGGTGGGGGTTAGCACTGGGTGACCCACTCGTTTTTGGGTTGAGTCTCCCTCCTGTGCCCTCTCACTCCAGGATGGTGTGTGTCCCTGTGAGTGTACCTGCATGTTGGTGGGGGCGGGGGACAAGGGCGCGTGCTGGAGCCCAGGTCTCTGTCCCTGTGTGTGGGGACTTCGGATGGAGAAGGCATGCCTGTGCCCTGTGCCCGGGAGCCCTTAGCACAGTGGTTCTGCACTGTGGCCCCACCTGGGGAGCTCTTTAAAATGTGGGTGCCCACACCATGCCCCAGAATATGCAGGCAAACCTGGGGCTCAGTGTTTTTACTTGTTGGTCTTGGCATTTTTTAAAAACTTCCCAGGTGAATCCAGTTTGCAACCAAGATGAAGAACCACTGTTTCTGGAAGCTGCTCACAGTCTCCTGAAGACCCAGGGTGGCGGGCTGGGGCTCGGACTCCCCTGCGCCACAGGCTGGGGTGGATGGTATCAGTGATGGCTGCGGTGGGCCCTCGGGAGCCTCTAGCGTCCACTCCTCATTCACTTTCGTTCTCAGGAATGGAAGGGCCAGCGTCAGTGGGGCTGGGTGTTTCCTTCAAGTCCAGTCGTGGCCCGGAGAGCTTTCCTCTTACTGGAGGACTTCCGGGAACTCAGGTCACCTGGCTTGGCCCTTCACTCCCGTGGCTGGAGGATCTCTTTAGGGAGTTCCCATGGTGGATGGGACAGTCATCTGTGGGGGAGCAGGGACAGTGGGTCATGGCCCTGCTGTAACCCCGTCATGGCATCACTGTGCAAGGGCACCAGTGGATGGATGGATGGGTGGATGGATGGATGGATGGGTGGGTGGGTGGACAGATGGGTGGATGGGTGAATGGGTGGGGGGTGGATGAATGGATGGATGGATGGGTGGATGGGTAGATGGATAGATGGGTGAATGGATGGGTGAGTGGATGGATGGATGGATGGATGGATGGATGGATGGATGGATGGACAGATGGGTGGGTGGATGGATGGGTGGATGGATGGATGGGTGGATGGGTAGATAAATGGGTGAATGGATGGGGGGTGAATGAATGGATGGATAGATGGGTGGATGGGTGGATGGATGGATGGGTGAATGGGTGGATGGATGGATGGGTGAATGGATGGGGGGGTGGATGAATGGATGAATGGATGGGTGTATGGATGGATGGGTGGGTGGGTGGATGGATGGATGGGTGAATGGATGGGGGGGTGGATGAATAAATGAATGAATGGGTGGACGGATGGATGGGTGGGTGGACAGATGGGTGGGTGGATGGATGGGTGGATGGATGGATGGATGGATGGATGGATGGATGGATGGACGGACGGGTGGGTGGATGGATGGGTGGATGGATGGATGGATGGGGGGATGGATGGATGGATGGATGGATGGATGGATGGATGGACAGATGTTTGAGTGGATGGATGGATGGATGGATGGGTGGATGGATGGGTGGATGGGTGGGTGGACAGATGGGTGGGTGGATGGATGGGTGGATGGATGGATGGATGGATGGATGGATGGATGGATGGATGGACGGACAGATGGGTGGGTGGATGGATGGGTGGATGGATGGGGGGATGGATGGATGGATGGATGGATGGATGGATGGATGGATGGACAGATGTTTGAGTGGATGGATGGGTGGATGGGTGGATGGATGGGTGGATGGATGGATGGGTGAATGGATGGGGGGGTGGATGAATGGATGGATGGATGGGTGGATGGGTGGGTGGATGGATGGATGGGTGAATGGATGGGGGGGTGGATGAATGGATGGATGAATGGGTGGATGGATGGATGGGTGGGTGGACAGATGGGTGGGTGGGTGGGTGGATGGGTGGGTGGATGGATGGATGGGTGAATGGATGGGGGGGGTGGATGAATGGATGGATGGGTGGATGGGTGGATGGGGGGTGGGTGGATGGATGGATGGGTGAATGGATGGGGGGATGGATGAATGGATGGATGAATGGGTGGATGGGTGGATGGATGGGTGGATGGATGGATGGATGGGTGAATGGATGTGGGTGGATGAATGGATGGATGGGTGGGTGGGTGGATGGATGGATGGATGGGTGAATGGATGGGGGGTGGATGAATGGATGGATGGATGGGAGGATGGGTGGATGGATGGATGGATGGGTGGGTGGGTGGGTGGATGGATGGATGGGTGGGTGGATGGGTGGATGGATGGATGGGTGGATGGGTGGGTGGGTGGATGGATGGATAAATGGGTGGGTGGGTGGGTGGGTGGATGGATGGATGGATGGATGGATGGATGGATGGGGGGGTGGATGAATGGATGGATGAATGGGTGGATGGATGGATGGGTGGGTGGACAGATGGGTGGGTGGATGGGTGGGTGGATGGATGGATGGGTGAATGGATGGGGGGGTGGATGGATGGGTGGATGGGTGGGTGGGTGGATGGGTGGGTGGGTGGATGGATGGATAAATGGATGGGTGGGTGGGTGGATGGATGGATGGATGGATGGGTGGATGGGTGGATGGATGGGTGGATGAAAGGTGGGGCGAGCCCCAATCTTTACATTGAGCTGCTACCATGGATCAGGTACTTGGCATCTCAAACATCTAGAGATTGGTGTGATTTGTCACTTTTTCGCAGCAAAGTGACACTTAGAAAATTCAGTGGCCTAACATTGTCCTCGTTGGTTATGGTGTGAGATTTGAACTCAAGTTGTCCAGCTCCAAAGACTGTGCGGTGAGTTTTCTCCTCCCTCAATCTTCACAGTGGGGAGTCTGAGCCTGGAACTGGAACTGCCCCCCTCTGAGGACGACTCGGACAGGGCTGAGATGATTTCGGGGACGTTAAAACAAAGCAATGGCCACCGCTGTGGATCACAGCTGAGGTTTTACTGCGTCCCCTTGTTGATTTTCTCAACCACACGAGGTCGGTTTGATCAGGCTCCATAAGTGACATGCCCAAGGTCACGTAGCGGCAAGCGCCCGAGCCAGGATTCGGAGCCCCGGTCTGCCTGCCAGTCGACTTCACGGCCCCTCCAGCAGACCGCAGGCCCGGCCTGGCCCAGCCGCAGGACAGCAGAGTAGTGTTTGCGGAACGGAAATAGCCGAAGAGTAGAATTCAGAGGTCGCCCTCTGCCCACAGAAGTATTTAGTTTGGCGCACAGAGTATTTAAAAAAATCTTTTTTTTTTTTAACGCGTTGCCAACATGTACAAATCATACCCAAATCTGAATTTTTGGATTTTCTTGAAAACCGAGCAGAACGGCCAAGCCCAGGCTCACTTTTCTGCGTGGCCACCGTGGCTGGTGCCCAGGACCGGCCACCTCTGGCAGCTAAGCTTGCACTCACCGCTCCACAGTCCCACCGGCCTCCCTCTGGGCTTCATGTCCCAGTGGTGCAGATGTTTGTTTTCATTACCTTCTTTGTCCTGAACTAGTCGCGGCACCTCTCCCAGGACAGATTTAGCCTCTCTGGGGACCGTGCATTGCTTGCGTTGACCACTGGATGCACTTTTCTGCTTGGAGGAACTCTCCTTCCTTCCTCCTCTGGTCCCAGGGTGTCTTCCTCCCCCTGTGGCGGACCCTGCGCTCTTCCCTCCAGAACTAGTGTCTCATGAACTCAGATACCATGGTGGCCTCTCTGGGAAGATGTTCAGTAGAACACCAGGAGGTGTGTGTGTGTACACATGTATGCATGCGATGTGTGCACCTGTGAGTGTGCATGTGTGTGTGGTAGGGGGTAAAAATCTACCTGGACCAAAGAGTTCACTGTACAAATAAGATTGAAAAGCAAAGGCTTCTTATGTGTCCCTTTTGGAATTTGACAGCGGCTGTGGTCATCTGAGACCTCTGAGGAGTTGCCTAACCCTGGTTGTACCTCATTTACTGCAGCGTCTGAAACCTGGACGGCCAGGGAGCCTTTGCAGACAGTGGGCCCTGTGCAAACCCCGCAGTTTTCTTGCCAAGTGAAAGGAAGGGAACACGCAGGCTGTGGGAGGGGGGCCGAGAGGCTGCCTGAGATACGGAGCCTGGGGGGGACCTGGGGGGAGGGGCAGGTGGAGAGGGGCCCCTGGGGGGGAGAGGCAAGTGGGGGGCCCTGGGGGGGGAGGCGGGGCCTGTAAGGTCTCTGAGTCCCTGCGAGGATGTCTACAGAGGCATGGCGCCTGGCACAGGGGGAGATGTCCAAGCAGCTTTAGAGATTAATATCATCACAGTGAACGAATGACCCTTCCAATGACCTTGAGGAAGGGCCGTGGAAAGACAGGATGAGACAGTCTCCCATGCCTGGAGAGGGTCCTAGCACCGGAGTCTCGGCCAGGTTTCCCAGCCTGGCTTTGGGGAGAGAGTATGGAACTGACTGTCTACAGTAGCCCCGCCCCATAGCCATGGTTTTGTTTCCCATGATCTGAAAATACTCAGTGGGATATCACTTAAATAAACAATGCCATAAACAATTCCTAAGTTCTAAATGGTGGGCTGTTCTGCAATACGTGGTAAAAGCCCACGCCATCCTGCTCCATCCCACTCGAGACGCATCTGCCCTTTGCCCAGCGTGCCCGCTGTGCCCGCTGTGTGGATGCTCTGAGTAGCTGTCTCAGGTGTCAGATCGACTCTCAGGGTAACACAGGGCTTGTGTTCCAGTCACCCTGTTTTACTTCATAGTGCCACCTTCACTTAACTTTTATTACACACAGTATAGTTATGATTGCTCTATTTTATTAGTAGTCATTATTGTCGATCTCTTGCTGTGTCTAATTATAAACTCAACTTTATCATAGGGAAGGCTGTATAAGAAAAACAGTATCTATAGGGTTTGGCACCATCTGTGGCTTCAGGCATCCACCAGGGGTCTCGGAAGGTGTCCCCGCAGGGAAGGGGACAATTGGGCAGTACCGGTTAGCCTCACCCTTGAACATGCACAGAGTCACCTGGGAAGCTCATTAAAGGTGTGGCTTCCACCCCCACTTCCAGGCATGTGGGGGGCTCGGGAGCAGCACCGTCAAGCAACACGCCAGGTACTCGGGGCAGGCGGTGCTGAGTCTGTGTGCACGCAGGGCTGGGGCAAGGACGAGTCTGAATGAAAGGACTAGGAGAAGGGTGGGGGTATCATGGGTGGTCACTGGTGCAGCTGGACACGGATGACTGGGTTGGTGTGAAAGTAGAAGCGTGAACCAATGATCAAGGAGCAGAAGGTGCTCATGAATTAACCATGGGCTGGGATAGGATCGCCCGACCTGGAATTATGTGCATAATTCACCCCACCCGAGGAGATGCAGCAGGCGGGGTGAGGGCGAGAGACGACCCTGTGTGCAAAGAGGTAACAGGCTGTGTGTGGAGTCATAGTTCTGGGGAAGCTTGATTCGGCACCAAAGGGAGAGAGGTTCTTGGTTTCTGAGGCTGTGAGGAACCTTACAGAGGGCAGGCTGCTGCGCCGGGTGGCCAGTCACCTCGCCATGGCGCTGGCTCGTGTGTCTTGGGTAAATGCTTAGATGAGTCAGACTAAATGAGTATCAGTCCAGATAGAAGCAGGAGGTCAGCAAGGAGGTCTCGGAACGAAAAAGGACATGACGTAGCACTTGAGAAAACAGACACGTACCAACAGCCCTCCCCCACACGGCGATAGTATAAAGACCAAGAGTCTGAGAAAAAGCAGAGGCCAACAGAAATTCCAGGAAAAACCAAAAGGCCTCCTAAGAAGGAAATGTACACAAGTACCCTGTCTCATGCTGCCGTAACATTTGCATACTCATCACGTTGTGAATTGTGGTTACTGTCTGAGCAGGGCATGACAACGATATTGGAAGACGGGGCGGTGTCAAGTGGTATTGAGGAGCTAAGTCACGAGGTCGTCAGCTGTCTTATCAGATCACGGACACACTATCCAAACTTGATATTTCAAGCTGATCAAGATAAACCAGTAGATATGTATTAGGTCATCATAACCACCAGAAGAAAGGGCTAAAAGGTCAGAACAGACTGTAGCCACCGACGGAATGTGGGTGGGAGGGAGGAACACATGAGCACGGGCTGCTGGCTGTCATTCCTTCCAGACTCTGCATCTCAAAGCGTCCGTTACTTTCATTGACCATATCACTAAGAGAGCGGGAGCACGGCAGGGTCCTAATGCCCAGGGGGCCCCAGGCACCCAGCAAAGGGTCCTGGCACTAAGAGAATGAAGCCAGGCTGAGACTCTCCTCGTAGCCCCGCCCACCCTGGCGTGGGTGGGCCTCAGGTCTGAGACGAGAGCAGATGCCAGGTGGTGGAGCCAGAGGACTGCAGGTCGGGCTCAGCCTCTGGCTCTGAGGATGGATGGGGCATGGGGGGCACCTCCTCCGGAACGGGAGCCTGGCCAGGGGCAGGTGCCAGGGGAGCGGCCCTGGGCCGGAGCTGGGGACGCCGCGGGATGGCCGGAGGCGGGGAAGGTGTCACTTACGTGCACACACTCCTATTGCGTACCTCGGGCGGTCCCCGCTGTAGTCACAGTACAGGCCCCGGTGGGGGTCGCAGACGGCAGCTTCCGTGCAGTTGTCCCCCAGCTGCTGTGCGCACACCTTGCAGCACTCACAGCCGTCGGTGAGGAGGCTGACCCCCAGCGGGCAGCGGGGCGGGGCCGGCGGGCACTCGCAGGGCCACTTGCAGAACTGCGGGTGCGGGGAGGTGGCCTCCAGTGGCGCTGGGGTGAAGGCCATGGCCGCGTGGGCTGGAGAGAGGGCCTGCGGGGGGAATGGCAGAGCTGAAGGGGCCGCCGGGCAGGGCACACGCCCCAGGCCTGCGTGGCCTTCCGTCTCCGTGGTGCTCGGAAGGCTTACGCAACTTTTTGTTTCCCAGCATGCTTTGAAACAATCCTCACCTGAGGACACGTCGTTGGTTTTTAAGTTGATTTTGGCGGGGTGGGGGTAGAGAGAAACATCGATCGGTTGCCTCTCCTATGTGCCCTGACCAAGGATTGAGCCTACAACATAGGTACGTGCCCTGATGGGGAATCACACCCACAACACTTTGCTGTATGTGATGACGCTCCAACCCACTGGGCCACCTGGCCAGGGCTCTAGCATGCTCTTGATAGCTGACATCTCCTTTCTCCTCAACAGAAGAAACAAGCCAGGGGCCCAGGAGTTCAGAGAGGGGAAGCCATCACCAAGCTCCTGCTGGTGGGCGGCGGCCCAGACTGCATCGGGCTCCCGCCATGCAAGTCTGTTTGTTTCTGCTCCCCCCACCTCACCCGGGAGGTCGTGAGTCCCCCTCCTTGAAGGATGTGGGAGCTGAGGCTTGGAGTAGGAACACCCCTTCCGATGGGGTGCACTGTGAGCCCTGCCCATAGCCCAGCGCTCTTCCTCTGCATCCTGATGACCCCCCTCTTCACTCCGCTAAAGGTCCCTAAGTGCTCACAGAACCTCCTGACTCAGATTTAACACCCGGTTCAGCCAGCTGGACTATCATTATTATCATTATTATTATTTTCCCCTCTGAGCACCAAGAACGGGCTGTGTACACAGGGGCTTCAAGCTGCCTGTATCTCTGGGATGCAGTCACCTCCCCCACCCCCACCCCCACCCCCGACCGCCATCCAGACCCCTCACTGTGCACCGGGAGGAAACCAGGCCCAGGAGAAGGAGGGTGGTCTGAGCAGAGAGCGTGGGCTGTGGCCAGCTTCTAGCCCCAGGCCAGTGTAGACCCTGCCAGCCAGCACCTGTCCCGGCATCTTGACGGTGACACGAGTTCTGACGTTAGCAGAGACGGCCCAAGACTTCTGTGGGGGCAGAGGCGGGCCCTGGGGCGCCCTTCCATCTCGAACCAGAGCAGCCCTGCATTGCGGATGTGTAACTCTGCATTTTAGTCTCTGAACAACAGATGCTGAGATATTCAGACACATTCTTCCTCCCTTCGCCAAGGAGTAAACTGAGACCCAAAGAGGCACAGGGACATGTCCAGGGTGACAGTCCCCGTCCGGGCCGAGACACAAGACTTTCTCAACTCCCATGTCCACCGCCGTTGCCCCCTCGGGCTCTTTTAGTCACTCGGCAAACGTTTGCAGAGTTAGTTCTAGTCTCTCCCAGGCTTAGGGACAGGCAGCTCCGGGGAAAGGCAGACGGGGTGGTGATTTAGTACACTCTGCGTACGTGTGCAGAGTGCTGGGCGTCCAGGGGAGCCCCGAGCGCTCTGGGCACCGCAGGACCCTGATGGTGATGAGTCCACCCTGGCATGATGGCTGCCAGGCCCAGGTTGAGAGGCTGATTTGTTGGACTCAGGTCTGGGCCTGGCAAAGTGCAGTAAATGTTGAGTCATCAAGTCAAGGGCCCTTGAAAGTCAGAGACGAGCCTTGGTCTGAGGTTTGCTCGCCTCCAGGCTTGGCTTGAAGCAGGCTAGCTGGCCGGAGCAAGGTGCTCTGGGGGTTGGCGGTGTTGGGCCGTGTTCACCTAGGGGGCAGGGGTTGGCCCGCCCTTGTGTGCTTTTCCTCAAAAGCACAGCATGACCTCAAACCCCCAAGTCATTAAAAGCAACCACACACATGCACACACGAGCACATGCATGCACACATAAGCACGCACATGCGCACATGCAGGCACATGCACACGCATACACGCACCTCCTTCTGACTCGATGGAGAGAGACGCCTCCGTGTCTCTCCCAGGCCATGGAAGAGGTGCTCCCCCTCATTAGAGGATCCTGAGCACCATCAGCAGCCTCCACCCAAGAAGACAGCATGAGACCTGGGACAGAGCGGGTCCTCTCCTGAGGCCTTGGACAAGCTTCCGGACTGTTCTGAGCCTCAGCATCCCCATCTGTGACAGCCACAGTAATGCCCCTCCAGGAGCTGTGGGGAGGCTGGGGGACACTGTGTATGAGACACACGAGTGTAGGGGCTGGCACATGGCAGACAATCAAAAGCATGACTCCCCCCACCACCACTAGTGCCCAGAACTTGGGGGTCTGGACACTTTCAGCGGAGCTGGGTGAGCTGTAAGCTGGTGCCGGTGACCCTCCCCACGCGGTCACTGTCCATGCTGTTGCCTGCATAGCAAGTTAAAGGTCCCCAGAAGGAAGCAGCAGAGAAGGAACCCTGGACAGAGGGAAGCGGTTAAGTGTCCTCCCTGGCACAGTGGAGGGATGGGCTCTGTGTGCCCTGAGCCGGGTCCTTGCTGTTGGCGCCATCTGGTGGTGTAAAACCTCCCAGACTTCACATACATGCTCATACACACACACACACACACACACACACACACACACACACACACACGACATCAGCTCTTCGAATGCCCAGGGCGGCCTGGCATGTCCACCTGCCCTTTGCCTTGGTACATGGACCATTGTCATTGAAATATGGACTCTTTTTTCATCTTAAAAGGAGCAGGAGAAGCTTCTCCGCCCAAGAACAAAGATAAGAGGTGCCCAGGCCCTCTGTTCATTGATTCCCTTGAGAAGCCAACCAGATCCCAGGGTCTCAGCACAGCCCTCCTGAGCCGGGAGACCAGCTGTCCGCACTGCTGTAGTGCAGGTCCTCACTGTGGGTGGCAGGCGGCGCTGTTGCAGCGCGTGCTGTGCTGACCTTGAATGGGTGGTCTGGGGCCCTTTGGGAGGGTGCCTCTGGTCACAGCAGAAACCCACATGTGGCCCGAGGAAATGTCTAGAGCCTCATGTCAGAGCGTGGCTCCGCAGGCCACCCCACGACGTCACCCTGCCCTCTGCTACCTCATCGGGCTGCTTTAGGGTCTGTGCCTGCTCGGAATGACAGCCAGAGAGCCCGGGGCCCCTGCCGCGTCCTAGTGTCCATTAAACAATGAGAGTGTGACTCGTGATTCTCTGGTTTTGTTTTAATTTGTTTGTGACTCCTCACCCAAGGATAATTTTCCATTGCTTTTTATAGAGAGTGGAAGGGAGGGAGGGAGAGAGAGAGAAACATCGATGTGAGAGACACACCGAGTGGTTGCCTCCCACATGACCCCAACCGGGGCTGGGATCTAACTTGCAACCCAGGGACATGCCCTTGACTAGAATCAAACTCTCAACCCTCAGTCTGAGGGCTGAGGCTATAACCACTAGCCAAACCGGCCAGGGCACGAGTCTCCATGGTTAAACAAAAAGCCATAAACCTGGTCTTGTTTAAGAAACCGGTGAAACCCATAAAGCACGGAGCCCTCTGAGGTGCAGGCAGGTTTGGAGGAAGCCCTGTGTCACCGGCAGCTGCAGCCGCCAGCGCATCCACCCAGGCCTTCCTGAGCACCCCCCAAATGGGCCCCTCCTTCTGGGGCCCAGGCCCTTCCTGGGAGCCCGAGCTTGGCTGAGTCCCTGGGACCCCTTAAAGCTCTTCCCAGCCTCCTGCTGTCTTGGGGCTTGGGGCTTGTCCCAGGCCCAGATAGAAGCAGATGGCAAATCCGGGACCACCCCCGGCAGCCCTCGTGGCTGTCCTTCTACCCGCGGTGAGCTGCCGACCTGGGTTGGCTGTGCCCACTGTACAGCCGGAGAAACTGCCCTTGGCCAGCTCACTGCCCTACGGGGCCTGCGCTGTTCTCACTTAACAGCAGAGGTTACGAGGAAACAAGGTGGACTGGGGAGGGGGACCAGCCCCAAAGCAAGGAGGACACCGTCCAGGGAAGGCCGGAGAAGGGAACCCGGCCTTGGGCACGTCCAGCTTGCAGGTGGTCACATAACAGTCCATTTTACGACGTGTTTCTGGGACCAACTTCTGCAGATACCACTGTGCTGACAGGGAGACAGGGAGACGCTTCCCCAGGCGGATGCCGTGTGTCCCTCAGCCACAGCCTGACCCGGCGGGTCTGCCCGCTCAGCCCTGAGCACACCGGCCCCCTACCTGTCCTGCCCTCCTTCTCCCTTCCAACAACCCAGCTTCCGGCTCAAACAGATCCGCTTCCGGTTGGTTCCCGAATGTCCCTGCGGGGTCGGAGGGCTCAGAATCTTTCAGAAACACTGAGGCCCAGACCCTGTCCCCAGACGACATCCTGACTTGCGTGGGCTGGCAGGAGCCCAGCACCGAGACTTCTCCAGGGGGTTCAGAGGGCAACGAAGGGCGAGAACCACCAGCCAAGGCCTGTGGACCTTGTTGAAGTGCAGATCCCTGGGCCCCACTTTGACTGCTCAGTGTCTGTTCTACTAGCAGGGCCTGGAGTCTGTGTTTTGACCTGGGCTGCTGATTCTTGGGGGGTGGGCACCCCCTGAGCGCTGGGCAGGGGAGGGGCAGGGGGGGCCCCAGGCCTCTTCCTTCCCTAGCCTGTGACCTGGGCGCCACCCGCCGGGCATGAACGCTCACCGCTCCCACAAAGCAGTCAATGCCGAACACACCGTTCTCAGACCTCACAGGGTGCCTCTGCTCCCAAGCAGGCCTCGTGCAATTGTTAAAGATGATGTGCTCTGCCCTTGGTGTTTTATGAAAATGACCGAAAAATGGGGGGAAAAAAAGGAGTTTCCCATAATAAGACCCTTAAGTATTTGCTCTGGTCTGAATGCTTCTGCCTCCCCCCCCCCCCCCCAATTCATATGCTGAAATCCTAACCTCTAAAGGGGATGTTGTTAGTTGTTAGGAGGTGTGACCTGTGGGGGGTCATGAGGTGGATGGGTCCCCCTCTTCTGAGAGCGTGTGTGGCTCATCGGTGAGTGGGGCTCTGGGCTGAAGAGCAAAGGGCACGGCTTCTGCAGTGAGGGGCCCCTTTCTCAGGCCCCTGCCACTCCTAGCCCCGTGACCTGTGCCCACCCCCTCTGAGCTTCTGTTTCCTCCTTTGTAAAATGCTGATGAGGACGGCAGCCCCCAGGGGACGGCACTGTGTCACCCATTTCACAGATATGGAAACTGAGGCTCAGGCAGCCTCAAGGCCTCACGGCTGGGAAGTGGTCGCAGACCAGCGCGTCCCTCCAAAGCCCTGACCGGTCATGCCGCTCCACTCCCTCGTCAATTCCCGTTCTGTCCACTCATTCGTCCCCTGCCCCTCATCACCTGCTCTAAGCATGTACCGCGAGGCCGGGCTCAGATGAACTGGAGGTGGCCCTTACCCAAAGGGTGTCACAGTATAGAGTCACCAATAGGACAACACGGGTGCTGAGGATGCACGGGTCCCCAGAAAAGGATACAAGATCTTCTCGGGGGGCTTTCTAGGGACAAGTGACTCTTTCTGGCCTCTTCTGTGCCCAGCTCTGGGCCTGGCACACCCTGGACAAGAGCTCAATGAACATAGGAAGGTCCTGCACTTTGCTTGCCGGAGTTGGGGAGGCTGCACCCAGATTTTCCACAAGGGGGCAGGGTTGGGACAGAAACGGCCTGAGCGCCCTGGCTGGGCCTGGGGCTTTAGGAAAGGGCTAGGGGTCTGGAAGCAGTAGGTGTTCACCTGGGGAAGGAGGGAACATGAGGCCCTGGGCTGGACGTGACCTACCACCCTCCCAACCCTCCTCATCACCGGTTTCCAGTTTCTGGTGTGACCCACTGGGGCAGCCACAGTGTGAGAGGGTGGACACCTCTTCCCTGAGCACCCCCAGGAGTGCGCCCTTGGGTCTCTGCCTGGTCCCCGTTGGGGCTTCCTTCAGGTGTGCAGCAATGAGCTAGTTGCCTGGGTCTTCTGGCATCCAGGTGAGGCGACCGTTCTGCCCAACGGGCAGGTTTAGGAGTCCTGCTCCCTGAGAATATCCCTCTCCCCTCAGACTGGTCCTTCCCCCTTCCCCCATGCAGCCCCCCTGGCTCACAGCACCGGTTCCTTCCCTCAACTCCTAGACTCAGGTCAGGATTCCTAGAGAGGCAGGGGGGACCCCTTCCTCCCTCCTCTTTGGCCTGGCCTCTCATTTTCTCCCACCCTCCTTCACTCCCTCTCACACCCTCACCCCAAAGCTTAGCAGATCCCCAGTCGTCCCAGGCCTGGACTTGCCTCCAGATGGGGGCCTTGGGATGGGCGGGCACAGATTTTATCATCTCCTGGAATGTCCATTATTCACGTCTTGAGAGGCCCAGTTCCTTCTCCTCCAATTCTATCTCCCTTCCCCCTCTGCCTTCTCTCAGGGAGAGACGGGGGGGGGGGGGGGGGGGAGGAGGCGCAGAGTTGACAGATTAACAGAGTGTCGAAGCTTGAGGAGAGGCTGGAGTCCACCTAATTCAAGCCAAGTGTGCATACAAATCCTCAAGGCAACCCCTTACCATGGAGGTGCCTGAGGGTGCCCCCAGGAATTCAGGCTCAGGGCCCTGAAATTGGTAATTTTTCCCCACAGCCCTCTGATTTTTCAACACACTCCTCTCTGCTAGTGTAAAAAGCTATCTTCAGCATGCCAGCCACCCTCATGGCGGGGACAGAGCCACATCTCCGGACACAGGAGGGGCCTGGGCACATAACAGGGCTGCTCGCATTCATGGAAAAGGCATGTAGATGGGCTAGGAAATCCACAGTTGGCATCTGCAGACCCCAACTCAGGGTTGTAAGATACAAATCTCACCTACAAGAATCATTATCACCACCGCCATCATCATCACCATCATCACCTTCATCACCTTCATCATCACCATCAGTACTACCATGACTACCATCAGCACCACCATCAACACCATCATCACCACCACCATCACCATCATCACCATCAGTACCACCATCATCACCATCACCACCATCACCACCATCACCACCATCACCACCATTATCACCATTATCACTATCACCATCATCACCATCACCATCATCACCATCATCACCATCACCACCATTATCACCATTATCACCATCACCATCATCACCATCACCACCATCATTACCATCACCACCATCACCACCATCACCATCATCACCATCACCACCATCACCACCATCACCACCATCATCACCATTATCACCATCACCACCATCATCACCACCATCACCATCACTACCATCACCATTACCACCATCATCACCACCATCATCACCACCATCAGTACCGTTGTCCACACCATCAGCAGCACCATCACCAGCATCATCACCCCCATTATCACCATGAGCAGCACTCTCATCACCGCCCTCATCATCACCACCATCGTCATCAGTATTCTTTCTCCTACACCACAATCCAAAAGTGTTCATTGACTCTCTTTAAACGTGCAGGGAAGCTGGCCTGGGTGTGTAAACCTGGGAGCTTCAGAAGACCTCGTCCCCTGAGCACTGAGCCCAGCACAGCCGACCAGTTAGTCTGCCCTGCTCCCCACCCTCCTGGTACTGGGCCAGGGTCTTTACAAACCTCTGCTCATTTGTCTGCTGTCAGTATTTCCACTCAAGCTGGGAATCCCCCGCCCTTGCAATGGGAACAAGGGACCCGTTCCCCATGTCCCCTTGGGTATGCAGGGGCTTAGAATATCTCACCTCCATTCCATTCATTACCTCCCCCAACAAGCCCAGGAAGTGAGTGCTAGTTCTGTGCCTCACAGACATAGACACTGGCTCAGAAATGCTGGGTCACTTGTCCAAGGGCGCACAGCTTATCAGTGGAGGAGCTGGGATGGGAGCTCTCAGTATTTTTCCCTCCTGTCTATTGTCATTCACCTGGGTACACCTGTGTCATTCACCTGGGTACACCTGTGTCATTCACCTGGGTACACCTGTGTCTTTCCAGGCCAACGCTGTCTATGGAATTTGACATTTTCCAGTAGCCACCCTAACAGTAATACAAAGTAGGTGACATTTGTTTTAATAATATATGCAGTGGAACCCAATACGTGAAAAATAGTATCATTTCAATATGGAGTCAACAGGAAAATCCTAATGAGAATGTGGCATTCTCGCATTGACGCTGAGCCCCAGGAATCCGCTGTGTGTCCCCTCTCGCGGGACCTCTGGCCACCTGTCAAATGTTCAGGAGCCTCATGGGGTGAGGGGCTCCGGACCGTAGGGTGTGTGGTTTGCAGTGAGCTGACACAGGCACAGAGCTTGGGACACAGTGGTCGCCTGGGCCCTGGGACATGAGGTGCTCCCCAGTGCTGGGAATGGGTGGGCAACATGTCCACACTCCGCTCCCAGACATCTGCAGGGCTACACGAGGCTATCGCGAGCTTTCCTTCATTTCTGGGCTGCAACTGGCGGCCCGCCTGGCCCCTCCCGGGTCCCCACCCTGGACCATGTGGAACCCAGTGTGTATAGCAACCCCTCCCCACCGCCCAGAGAGACGGCAGAGGTTCCTGGGAGGAATTCCAGGGTTTCTGTTTGTACAAAGTCCAAGGCAGCCTCCTGGCATTTGGCTGCTTTGCTGGCAGGGCTGGTGAGGGGCTTTCTGAAACCTGGGGGCTCTGCCTCCCCTCCGTCTTGTGGATGGGCCCAGGGGGACTGCTCAGCCCGAGGTCAGGGTCTGGGCTCCCAAGGACACAGTCCTGTTCCCCCTCCAGAGCCTGCCAGGGGCTGTGCCTGGTGGAACGACCTGCCCATCCCTGCCCACCCCCCACCTGCACCCCAGATGAGCGGTGGGCAGAGCAGCCACGTATCTGGAAGAGGCTCTGAGCAGGGGACTCGTGAGCGTGGGGCCTGGGTGGGTCTGAAATGCGTGCTCTGACCCAAGGAGGTGTCACAAAGGCATATTTGCATGTTCTCTCTCTTTTGGGTCCACACCTTCTTAGAGGGGGTCCCGGGAGGGAAGAGCGTGTGTGCATTCCACGCTCACACACCGTGGGGACGCGTGCGCAGGCAGCCACGACACGCGCGCCTGTGTGCACCCACATGCATTTGTGTGGGAGAATCTACACGCGTGAGCAGAGACCTACTATTTGCCCAGGAATTGGTGAGCACACCCAGACCTGAGTTGTTCACCCAGCCCCAGGCTTCCGACCCTCAGGGGATCCCCTGTTCACTCCCCAGCAGCAGGGCCCTTGGGCTGAGGTTCCTGGCCCCATTAGCAGTGAGGACAGTGAGGTCCAGAGCGGGGAAGGGACTTCCGAACCTGAACAGCCCTTGGCAGAGCCTGCACCCAGCCCCTCTCCCTGTTGCCTGTCCTCCTGACCTGTGGTGGCTGTCACCTGCCCCACCAGCCTGTAGCTCTTATAAGGGACCACGTGCTTCTCATCTCTGCTCAAGTACATGGCCAGGCTTTACTGGCAAGAGCTGGACCCGGGTCCCAATGTCAGCGCCACTGAGTATTAGCTGTGTGACCTCAGGCAAACGACTTAACTTCTCTGAGCTTCAGGAGGACAATGACACCTGCTGAATGTATGGCTTTGAGAATGTCAGGAGGCACTTAGCACGGTCTGCTGGATGCACTGAGGAAGGCCTTAGCTACCCCCGCAGAGCCTTTGGCCGGGACTCTGCGTGCACACCAGCCGTAACCCTTTCTCTGAGCTGTGGGGCTCTGGGTACTTGTGTATGGAAGAGAAGAATGAAGAGAGGAAGAAACCAGTCCTGCCTGCGGTGCCCGTTATCATGCTTCACGTTCCCGGACGTGCTTGGCCGGGACTGCGCACTCGCCGCCCCGTCGCGCTCTTTGATTTCTCTCTTCCTTCTTCAGTTGCAGAAGTGCCCTCCCGCCAACAGGAGAGCTCCCCCCGCAGCCTCACTTCCTCAAAGCGCTCCTGGCTGTGTGCACAGGCTCCCCTTCCATACGAACATCTATCATCATCTTTTCCACTGAAAGCCCCCGGGACGCGGGTGGACGCGCATTCCGCCTAGGCTAGCGTCTGGGACTCGGCTGCAAAGCAGGGCGCGGGGGGCCATTTGTCCACAGCCTTGGGTGGGGGCCAGGGTGGAGAAGGCCCTGAGGGCTCCAACCCTGGCTTTGTGTGGGGAGCTCCCGAGGCAGGAACAAGTGGGGACCCGGTCGGTCAGGTTCCCAGAGGAGGTCTCCGGGCAGGGGCTTCACAGAGGAGAGATACCGCGCCTCCCCTCAGGAGCCTGCCTTCCGTCCTGCTGTCTGGGTCCTGGGTGTGTCCCCTCGGCTGAGCCCACAGCTCTGTGCCCCCTTTTCCTCAACACCAGTGGCTCTGCGGAGGCTCCTGGGGCCCCAGAGTCCCTGAACCCACCGGCAGACTGGTCCCCTCCTCCTCCTCCTCGCTCGGGCCCGTTGGCTGCACCCCTCACCTCTTCTCCATCCAGCCCCTGTCCTCCCAGCCGGAGCAGCTCTGAGTTAGGGCTGGTTTGGCTCAGTCTGGTCTGCAGGAAGTGCTCCGTCCCCCTAAACTTGGAAAGCTCGGGGTGTGGCAGGAAAACATCTGAGTTTGGGCCCTGGCACTGACTGATCACAAGACCCTGGGCAAGTCCCTTACCTGCTCTGACTCCGTTGGTCTCACTTGTGAAAACGGAGTTAATCTCTTTTTTGTAGGACAGGCAGGCACTGTGCACGGTACGGAGGATTTAACACTGAATCAGAAGGATGCTCCCTGCCCCCATCATACACTCCACGGCGCTCCAGGGAGCCCCCACCCCCGCTCCTACGAGACATCTGGCTACAGTCAGCCTCAGTCCGTTTCAATCAGGAGTCTTGGAGCCCACGGGTGAGCTACTGGCTCGCTGAGCGTCAGTCTCCTCATCCACAAACGGGGCACACGGACCCCAAGAAAGCTCCAGCGTGAGTGGGGAAGAAACCCCTCTTGCCATCCTCCCTCCAGCTCTTGGCTTTCGGACTGGCCCTGGCCCGGCGGAGAGACCCCGAGTTCAGAAGCTGCCCCCAGCTGCCTCCTGCCCAGCCCCAGAAGGCTGGCTCTGTGCTGCCACATAGCTGGCTCCCCCGGCTTCTCGGTGCAGACACCCCCCCCACCTTGGTGTGCCCTGGGCTGGAGGTGGGGGACAGAGAACCCCAGGATCCTCTGGGAACAGCGGGCTGCCTGTGTTGGACCCCGACTTCACACCCCTGGAGCTCTGTGCAAGCCCAAGGCAGCAGCTGTTGGGGTGAGAAATCATCCCCAACAGTTACTCTCGAGAGGCTCTTTTGTTGAAAACTGGCATCCTCCTTCCGACTCTTCCCGGCGCCTTCCACGGCCCCTTCCTGTAGTGCATTCAACGCTTGGAGACTCATTTTTTCCAAACCCAAAGACTCAAGAAGTCTGCTGACAACATGCTCACTTCATGCTGCTCAGAGAGGGTGAGGGACTAGCCCAAGGTCACACAGCCAGTCTTGGCAAAGCTGGGTCTGGAATTCAGGCCCCCAGCTCCCAGGGTCCCTTCCTTTCAGTTCTGCTTCAGCTGGAGGGGGCGCAGGGACCCGTTCGCCTTGTCCCTGCAGGAGTGGCCCCTTCCTCCTCGCCTGCCGGAATCTGCGGACCCCAGGCAGTCCCCATCCTCACCTCGGGCCTCGCCCTGCCCCCGCGCCCAGCACCCCTCATCTGGGCCCCTCTCTGAGCCCCTCCGGGCAGGACTCACCGTGGCCAGGGCGCTGCCCGCGGCTGCTGCGGTCACTACTGCCAGCGTCCAGGCCAGGAACCACCTCATGCCTGGAAGCCCGTGGCACAGGCAGCGACCAGAAGATTCGCCGCCTCTCGGGGAGCGGGGCCGAGACTGGCTGGCCCATCAGGAGCACCAGCCACAGCGCTTCCCGCAGCCCTTGGGGTTTTATTAAAGCAAGATCTGACGTCAGGGGTAAAGACAAACCCTGCATTTTCCTCTGAAAAAAACTTTTCCTGCCTCCCTCTCTCTCTTTTTTTCTTTCTTCCCTCTGTCCCCACCTCCAGCCCAGGCTTGGCCGGCCTCCCCGGCTCTGACAGTCTTAAAGGGAACGTGCAGGGCTATGATTTCACGGCGGGCTGGGGCCGGGGCCGGGGCGCAGGTTCTCACGGAGGGAGCTGGGCCATGCTGGGGATCGTTCACGGGGGAGGGAAGTCCTGGCAGGGTGCAGGGTGCAGTGGAGATACAGTTACCCCGTGGGCGGTGGGGGCTTTGAAAGCTCTCCCAGAGGGAAAGGAGCTCCCTCTGATTTCATCCGCGGCTCCCACCTCTGGTCGCTCTGCCATTCTCCACCTCTCCCTCTCCTGGCTGCCGCGGACGATGGCTTTTGATGCCTGACCTGGGAACGGCAGGGATTCACGGTGAACTCGCGCCAGGCTCAAGCGCCACAGGCCAGTAGGTCCCC